GTCCAGCTGGACCTTGTCCCTAGGATGGATCCACAGGAGAGAGGTTTCGCCTTGCCAGCTTGCTGGTGCGAGCAGGCCCCTCATTCATTCACCAGTTTCCGTTTACTCATTTGTAGAGTAGATGTTTGATTCGCTGTAGTAACCCTTGAGAATCTGTGGCTACTAGAGTTCTCCCCAGAGTCTGTAGTAAGGTAAAGCCCCTGTCATGGCACCCTGATTGTACTGCTTCTGTAAAGCTTAAGACTTAACAGATAGTGAAACTGTTGCCATGTTTGGCAAGAAGTTTGCTTGTTCAACCCACCAATACTGCTTTTTATTTTACTAAATGGTTTCCGATTGATGACCTTGATGGAGGAGGAGTCACCAGAGCTTGGTGGGACGGAGAGGAGAGGGGAACCTGGCTTGACTCGCTGTGTCTGAGGGGACCGTGTAAAGAAACGGTTTCCTTCCATCTGCCCTGGGAACTCTGCTCACTGTTAACTGTTACTGCCCTTAGTGAACGATGTACCGCAGATCGTTACATCTTTGCATAACAACGTTAGCAACAAAATTGTTAACTGTGAGGATGTGATGCTGGGCCAGGGTGTTTGGCATTTATGTAAGGACCAGAAGCCCCAGTGAAAAGTACCCAGTGTAGCAGATGGTTCTGCGGGATAAGGCTTCATCGGATAAACAGGTACCTTCCCTGAGCGTAGCTGGCGACAGATGGGTGGAACTTAACACTCATAAACACCTAGGAAATATCTGTAGAGTCTCCCAGAGGCCCTTGCAGGTGAGACGTGTGGGGTAGTCATGGGTCTAGAAATGTTTCCTCGACTGTGCTAAGTTTTACAAAGGAGGGGAAGATCGTGAGGACACCAAGGACTTAGCAGTTCAATGTCCCGCCCTTGCAGCAATCCCATTTACCATTTGAAGCGCCCTGAGATTTCACATTGCTCGTGTGCTGCATAGCCGCCACGCTTTGCGTCACAGGAAACCAACTCTCCTGGGATCCTGTACCAAGAAACGGTGCTCTTTACCATGTGTGGTGCGTGGCCATTACTGTGGCACTCTCTTGAGACCATGTAGCGGCAGTGATGCCAGGGTCACTTGGTGGCCCTGCAGGATGAATTTTCTCAGCACAACTGAGCTGTTTCACCTGTGCTTACTCAAGTCCGAGTCTTGCTACTTGGAGAGAGAAAACACCCGTTGCAAATCTCAGTGCCTGGGTCAGTTCTGCTTCATATTGATTCCCTATTTTAAAAGCAGTGCCACAAATTACTTTCTAGAGTTTCAGGCATGAAAAGTAAGTGTTGGAACATGTGCAGAAGGCTGGTAGAGTACTTGCCTAGCTTCCGTGAAGCTCTGGGTTCCCTGCCCAATACCACATATGGGTGTGGTGATACATACCTGTTTTTCTAGCCCGAGGATGGGGAAGCAGGAGGGTCAGAAGTTCAAGGACAACCTAGGTTACTTAAGATCCTGTTCTTGTTTTGTCTTAAAGGGGGGGGGGGGCTGCCCAGAAAATGCAGACATTGAGTATATTTGTGGGGAGCCTGAAATGTGTTCATACATGTGCGTGTGCACCGTATAGTATGCAAACTGGGACATACAGCTCCTCAGACATTGGCCATTTCCTTGTGATGGAAACACCGGGGCGCTCAAACTTTTCTGGAGCTTTTCCTTTGGAGCAAGGAAAGGAAATGAAGATCAGTCTAAGCCCCTGGCTGGTTCCCAGTCACTTCCTGGAGAGTCTTGTGATAAGTGTTGCAACCAACGCTGACGGGAGGGTGGAGGAGCACTTCTGATCCTCAGGCCACTGCCCTTCAGTCCCAGCTGCGAGCCAGTCTGACTCCTTCGCTCTCTCTGCTCAGAGTCTCCAAGGTCTGAAGTCTGCCTGAAAGATGTCAGCCCTCAAAGCCATCTTCCAGTACATCGACGACAATCAGGACCGCTATGTCAAGGTGAGGGTCTGCCCCTTCTTCGGGAATTGTGACAGCTGCTGCAATCTTGTCCAGCCAGAGAGATTTTCAAGAAACTCGTATGAATTATGCCATTTTGATCAAGCATTAAAAGTTCATGTTTCTTTTCACGATGGTGAAGGTCGCACTTTCGTCATTTGGCAGTTAATTATCCCTGTTTCTACAAGTAATGTTCATTCTTTATTTTTCTCTAAACTCATCTATGGTTTCTTGTGATAGTTATAGATTTAAAAAAGAAGAAGACAGCTTGAATCCAGCTTGTTCTGAGTGATTATATGATGCTATATTTAAAGTATTGCTTGGTTTTTATCTGTAAGAATTATGACTTCAGTTTACTTTTGGAAGAATCATTTTAGACGAAACATTTTGACTTCTCCCGCTAAGAATTTCATCTTGGCTGCTGTCAAGGAGACAAGGGAACTAACTTGGATCATGACTTGACTTTGTAGTATGTTTTCTTTCTGTTGCAATTTTGTTGATTTGTGGTTAAAAATGCACGTTCTGACATCTTTCCTTCCTGCTTAGTTTTGGGGGGTAGGAACGCCACAGTTTTGTTGGTTTTTAAATGTAGATCAGGCAAGCTCGGTCTGCTCTGTGCATAAAGTGGTGTAGCTGTAGTAGAGTACCATGGACGAGCCCACCCCTGCCCTTAGAGAACAGCATTTCAGAGCCCTTTCCTCTTGCCCTCTACAAACAGAAACTTGCGGAATGGGTGGCCATCCAGAGCGTGTCCGCCTGGCCAGAGAAGAGAGGGGAGATCAAGAGGATGATGGAGGTGGCCGCCGCGGATATCCAGATGCTGGGGGGCTCCGTAGAGCTGGTGGATATTGGAAAGCAGAAGGTACGAGCACACCGAATTCTCCCTGGGGCTGGGAAGAAGCAGCCAGGTCTTGTGTGACCTTTGACTGCAGATGGTCAGCTCTAATTCATAGTAAGCTTGTAGTGCCTCTTGCGCACATCCTCACTGAGGGCAAGGTAATAGTTTTGTGATTATTCAGCATGTTTTATTCCAGGAAGGAGAACTGTGGACCAGTGACTCAAGGGTAGGTGAGAATGACTGTCACTCTTAGGAAGAGCTGAAATTCCTTTCCCAGAAATCAAAGCTTTCACAGTTAGAAGTTACACATTATCTGAGTCACTTAATAAATAACAAAGCTTCCTGTTCCAGGTCCTCTGCGTATGTATGGTAGCTTTAAGAGTGTGAACGAGTGAGTCTCCAATTCGTGTGCCTTCTCTTGCCTTCATTTGCCTTGCCTTGTCCAACTTTGATGTGATGGGTTTTATTTTATCTTATTATGTTTTATTTTGTTGTTTTCTCTTAGAAGCCTGTTCTTTTCTAATAACAAACAGAAAGGGAATGGGTCCAAATGACAGGGAACTGGGAGGAGCAGAGAGGGAGGGAAAACTGTAATCAGGATATATTGTATAAGAAAAAAAATCTAGTTTCAATAAAAGGGAAAATACACTTGAAAGCAAAAACATAAAATAAATAACAAAGCCCCAGCACCCCCACTCCACACCCCAGCACTTCTTATCAGGAATCTGGGAGTTAAGAGGGCACCTTAAGAACAGCTTGCTCTGCTTTGAATTTTGTTACTGGTTTTGGTTTTGGTTTTGGGTTGAGACAGGAACTAACTATATTGCCCTGGCAAGCTAGAACCCACTAAGTTGACCACACTGGCCAGAACTCCCAAAGCTCCTGCTGCCTCTGTCCCCCACATGCAGGGATCTAAGTTGTGGGCCACCACATCCAGCTCTTTATCTGACATCATGATACATTTTTCTGCTACTTTAGTTTCACCTGAATTTTTAGGCTCATTTTGTCGTTGTTGGATCTTTTGTCTGATAAATTAGGTGTGCAGTTGCAATGAGCAGTTCTGGAATTAGCCATTCAATTTACTGTGCATATTTAATCCAGGGGGTGGTGTGATCATTGGGGAGCCAAGTGCCTTCATGGCAAAAGCAGAATTCAAATCCAGGCTTTCTGACTCTCGGTCCAATGCTTCTCGAGATTTTCTTTGAATGACAATTATTGATAGTTAATATACAATAGTAGCAGCATCCGAACAAATGCCCCCCACAGGGGAATAAACTAAGTTTCTTCATATTGTTTCCTTTAACTTTTTTGTTTAGTCTTTTTGAATTTGTAATTGTTTATTTATTTCTTAGACAGGGTCTCACTCTGTTCCAGTCTGGCCTCCAGGGCTGCGGGTGTAACCACACACTCACTCTTGTTTCTTTGCCTTGCCTGTCTGCTGCCTCGCCCACTCTTCTCATCATGTTAAACAAAAGACAAAATATAACTAGGTGCGATGAATCACTTTTAAGAGTTCCTTTACAGGGTTTTTGGACAATAAATAAATCAGCCAGGGGCGGGGATGGGGTGAGGGGAGCCATACACCTTTAGGACAGCCAGGACTACACAGAAGAAACCTTGTCTCGGAAAAACAAACAAACAAAATTACAATAAATAAATCTATTCTGTTACCACTGACTTGGTTATCTTTAAAGGCCTCCATAAAAGAAGACAGTGGCTGTTACACTGTTTCACATTAGGTAACACCCATTTTCATCAAGGCCTCAAGAGAGCTCCGTGATCAGGCCAGCTAAAAGCCAGCTGATGGAAACGGCCATGGACCCTATGTACCCGAAGTTTAAGGCATGGTTCTCTTCCCCTGGTGCCTATAGGCCAACCTCATGAAATCTGATGTGCAGGCCCAGCCCTCATAGCACAAGCTTGGGGCGGTCAGGATCAAGAGGTACTTAGGTATTTTATCAGCGAAGTTTACTGAGAAAATAAGCCAGTATTCTTACAAGAGTCCCTATCACCTGCTGGGTGTGGTGGTGCTCGCCTCTAATCCCAGAACTCCTAGCAGGAAGGAGACAGTCAGGCCTAATCAATGAGGTGTGTCTCAAAAATAAGAATTCTAACCACCCGCTGACTTCTAGAGTTCTAGTGTGCTCACAGGCTCAAATCTGAGGGAGGAGAATTTTCCCAGCCCTCCCCCACACCGTCCTTACCTTGTCAGTTTTAGTGGCTTTTATCTCTTAATCACAAGTTGTTAGTCTAGCTTCGTTATCAGACAAGATAATCGGTACATTGGGCGGTGGTGCGGGTGGTATGGCTTCAGGGCAGTCTGGCTCTGACTGCTATACCCATTTAGTCTGTGCATTATGGTTTTTTCAGAGACATTTTCATAATGACTCTCAGTAGTGGTTTCTAGTACATCAGCACATATGCGCGCTGTTCTTGATGAAACAGCCCCTTCCTCCTACCAGCAGACAGATCACACACGTGTGTGTTCGTGTCCTCCCTTGTCAACTGCTGTGTGCTTTGCTATGCTCAGCAGGTTTTCCTGGCCAAATACAGGAGCTAGTTAGTAGAGGAGGCGCATGGGCTGCAGGGCGTGAGGACATTGTGCTTGGGCCATGGAGCCACAAGTGGTCACCACTGACCTGATGTAGAGGTAGGAAAGACGCAAGACTGGTTTGTCTAGAATTCTACAAGTGGTGTCCTGGATAGCTGGCAAGGCCTTGGGGGGAAAGTCCAGGGGGAGCAGCAGCTACCACCATTTCACTTGGCAAGCATTATGTAAATTCTCTATTTTGAAGATTTTTTAAGTGTGTGTATGGTAGGTGTATGGTGTGTGCTCACAAGTGTCTGTAAGCAACGCGTCTGCTGGTACCCAGAAAGGCTGGAGATCACCAGATTCCCCTGCTGTTGAATCGCAGGTGGTTGTGATTCCTGATGTGGGTGCTGGGACCTGAACTCGGGTTCTCTGGAAGAGCAGAAAACACGCTTACCTGCTGAGCCATCTCCCCAGCCCTGAATTCTCTTAATGCCCTGGCTGATGGTCCATTCTGTTCATCTTAGCTGTCTACATACAGAAATTTCAAGAATATAGCCCTCGGTTGCTATTGTAGCTGTTTTAGCTGTTATTTCAGAAATGAGTGCAGTTTATCCCAGACTGTTTTGTTATGTATTCTGACGGGTTTCCTAGCAGCCTTGATCAAACTAGTTGTCGGTGTGGTTCAGTTCATGCTCCCTGTGTTTCGGGAAATCATTGGATTTCAGAAGCATGGAGTCCTTGTTAATTAAGAGCTGTTAAATGATAGGATCTTAAAACTCTGCAGCAGAGGTTGAAGGATTGAATGACAGCTGCCAGACTATTAACCAGACTGTCTTCCACTGCTCCTCTTCTCAGCTCCCGGATGGCTCAGAGATACCCCTTCCTCCCATTCTGTTGGGTAAGCTGGGCAGCGATCCCCAGAAGAAAACGGTGTGCATTTATGGGCACCTGGATGTGCAGCCTGCGGCCCTGGAGGATGGCTGGGACAGTGAGCCCTTCACCTTGGTGGAGCGGGAAGGTAAGGGCACCAGTGCTTGCCACCCAAGTGTTCAGCATTGGAAATAGTTCTGGAGATGCTACATTTGGGAAATCACTCATATTCTCCTGGGGTTTTCTCTTTCTGGTACACTTTTTTAAACAGAATCTAGAGACTGGGTTCTGGAGATTTCTCATTTGTGCCTCGGTTCCTCAAAGTTCAGAAACTTTTCTTATGACAAGTCCTTGGTGGGAGCCTGCCAAGCTTCCTTCAATGCTAACACCTTTTCCAGAACATTCTTTGTGATTTGGGGCCACAGAGTCTGCAAAGGCAGCCTCTCCTTCTCACTCCCTGTGATGCGCTCGGCTTGCATTCTGTTGTCACTGCTCTGTCTGGAAAGCCCCCCAGGGCCTAATTCCAGGCCTCCTGAGTGACATGTCCTGACTCCTTGTGGACTGCTAC